GGAGGAACCCTCGGCCACAAGTTTTGCTTCCGCATCAACCATTTCGTTTCCGATCACGCCAACGTGCCCTGGCACCCACTGTATTCGGATGCGGAGAGATCTTCTTTTTGACTGCAGGCGTCGCGCTTGGCGATGGAATTCTTCCACTAGGTATCTTCCTGACTTGGTCTGACCGGATTGGAGGGCAAGGATGGCGGCTTGGGAGTCTATGAGGATCGTAGCCTTGGTGAGTCTGGTGGTGCTCTTGATGATGTCCAGGGCTCATCAAGAGCACCACCAGACTCACCAAATGCGACGTGAAGCTCGAAATCATCTACGCTCTACAAGTCCACCGGATATCTGAGATCCTGTCGAGGAGCACCACTGAACAACTAATAAAACCCCCTTATTTCCTGTCGGTACAACGAGCATACTCGTCATCCGATTTTCACCTCACCTCTCATCCAGATGATTTTTTGTGCCAAGTCAGACAAGCCTTTCGCATTCAGTGCCACTAGCGGAAACGCTCCCTCCGAGGAGTTCCCACTGTACTGCTTAGAGGCCGAATGTTCTTAATTATGCAAAGATAAGGGGGAAATGAAAAGCGTCAAGCTCGGTCCGGTATTCGTTCTACCTCAAGCGGGTTGGACCATGCATCGGGCATCGATTGTGGAGAATTAGTGCCATCAATCAGATAGTAAGTGATGGAGTATGTCAGTTAGCCTTGCATGAGCTCCATTCTAATGAGTCATACATGCATGCATTCTATTCGATACAAACACAATGCCGTGTAGATAACACACTAAGCACTAGTACACGCAACACCGGCCACCTAATGACCCTCCTCTTCGCCCGGAATGACATCCACCTAAGAGTTTATCAATGTACGAACCTGTGTGATTAACTGAAATGATTATACCTTGTCGAGATCCTCCAAACATTTCCCAATGATCCTAACAGCCTTCAACAGATCCTCCTCCGATATCACCAGCGGAGGCGCGAACCGAATACTGCAAAGCCCCAGGTAAGAACACTAAAAGGAGAGAACGAAATCTAATCTTACATATTCACATGCGTCGGTTTCGCCAACACACCTCGACTCTTCAAAAGCAGGCACAGCTGCCATGCCGTACGTCCTTTGCGACTCTTACTCTCGTCTATGACGACGGCGTTCAGTAGCCCCCTTCCGCGTACAGTCTGCACCAGCGGGGAATTGAGCTTCGTGACCGAACTTCGGAAGAGCTCTCCGAGGACTGTCGCACGCTCTGCCAGACGCTCATCAACGAGTACTTTGAGAGCCGTCATCGCTACAGCACATCCTAGCGGGTTGCTGCAAAACAAATGAATCAATGTAGGAGAGGCGAAATGACGTGCTTACCCTCCATAAGTACTTCCATGCTCGCCCGGCTTAATGCAAAGCATGATGTCCCGATCGGCAAGGACTGCAGAAACGGGATACACTCCGCCCGACAAGGCCTTGCCCAGTAGGACCATATCCGGTCGGACGTTGTCATACTGACAATCCAACATCTTACCCGTTCGACATAATCCTGTCTGGATCTCATCACAGATAAGGAGCACATTGTGCTTCTTGCACAGAGCATGCACGCGTGAGAGATATCCCTCTTCGGGAACAACAATTCTACCACGAACGTGTCAGTCAAATATAAATAAGTGGTAGCTGAAATCACGCACCCAGCTTCACCCTGTATCGGCTCTACAAGGAAAGCTGCGACGTTCTTGCCATGCAGCTCAAGCGCTCGCTCCAAATCCTCCACCACGCCGTATCTGATGGTGTTCAGCTGGGAGCCGTCCAGATACGTGGGCCCGACACCCTCGAGGTAAGGTCCGAAACCTGTGCGGCTGTCCGGATCGGTACTCATACTATCTTTCAAGAATTAACTCAGCGGAGATTCCCCATGAAGTAAAAGAAACGCACCTGATGACACCTAGCGTCCGTCCGTGAAAGTTACCCTCCACGCTCAGAATCACAGCCTGGCCTTCGGGAACACCCTTCTTCATATAGGCCCACTTACGTGCGAGCTTCAGCGACGTTTCGACAGCCTCTGCGCCAGTGTTCATGGGCAGAACCATATCATAGCTGAACATCTCTGTGATCTGCTGAGCGAAGCGGCCGAAGACGCTGTTGTAGAAGGCCCGAGATGAAAGGGTGAGTTTCTGGGCCTGTTCGATGAGGGTTGCCACAATCCTTGGGTGACAGTGTCCCTGGTTTACGGCTCTATTACCGCATGTGAGAAAAATCGAAGCGATTGAAGGGGGAAAAATACTGACGAATAGGCAGAAAGCATGTCGATGTACTCCCTGCCTTCTGGATCCCATACTCTATCAGGATCCAATCAGATCAAGCAGATTTCGGCGGCAAAAAGAACTCACTTGGCGCCTTTTGCGGAATCGAAGACGACGGGTAACGGATGGTAGCTGATGATGGCAAAAAAGCCGCAGGTCAGTGGATGTTGTATAAATGGAACAGATACGAACGACGAAATGTTATAAAGGGCGGCGATGATTCAGGGCCCTGTGGCGTCCTTCCCTGCACACGATCATGGCTCTCCTCACGTCCAGCAAGAAACAACGAGAATAAAGGAATACTCACTTGTGCGCCCCGTACTTGCTCTCCATCTGTATAACGTCCGTCGATGTCAAGTGGATGCTACGTCCGTTGCCGGAAACCTTCTCGACACTCTTGGTGCCGTTCTTGACGCCGTTGGAGTGGCCATTGGTGCTGGTGATAGCGGTTGGAGACATATTTGTTGTTGGTTTGTTGGTTGAGTAAAATTTACGAATTTCTGTCGATGATGGTGGTCAGAAACAGAGATGCGGGGGAGCGCTGACCAATCATGGCCAGTTGATCATCGATCATGCTCCGCCCGTCGCGCTCCTCCCTCACTCCCAAAAATTTTCTTGTCGCTCCTGTCTTGTTCCGAAGAACGCGGAGGTAGCCGAAGCCGAAAGTCTCAGCACTGTATTGAAAGCTCCAGTTTGATATCCTACGCGTAGAGGTAAGAACTGCATCGAATGATCGGAGCAGGGGGGAATTCTAAACATTCCTTATATCGACAGGAATTTGCGATGCAATCATAATAATTGGACTTTGTAATGTAACGGCAGCGATTTATTTGTGTTTTCAATCCACGTCGCAGCATAGGACTTTGACCCGAAAAAAGTCGACTGATCCTGAGGCCTAAGGCAGCTGCCGGGATATTTCTCTTTGTCGTTGCTCTACTAGAGTATTTTCAGGCTTGCTGCAGGCTGTCCCTATTTTCGCATGACTTGTAAGATATTTTGGAGCGAGCCGACATGTTGGGGGTTAAGACGAACTTTCAAGTAGGGGCTACTCTTCGGAGCGAGCCTTTTTATTAGTAACGCGAACTTGACAGTAGAGGCACAGTCCAACAAAGGGAACAAGGCCACTAGCATCGAGTGGCATCAGTCTTTGTCATTCAGCACAACATTCATTAATGCACCAACGCCACCCCCAACTACTCTCACACTCACTTTCAACAGCGTCTCGAGAAAGGTGAGCAAGTCCGTGATACAACCGCGCCAGGACTGAAGCGAATCCAGATGCCAGATAAAGGTAAGAAACGTTGCGCGCCCTCCGACGCAGGCGAGGAGGATGAAGGCCAGTCCTCAAAGCGCATCAGAACCAACGTAAGTGTCCAGCTGCGATCTACTACTCATTCGCTAACGACCTCTAGGCAATATTACCTCCCATCGGCAAACCCTCACGCCTGAAAGGCCTAGGTTCTCCCAAAGTACGACCGAGGAACCGTCCCCGTGCAAACGCAAACGCCCGTCGACCCACTGTCGCCTTGAACCCGTCCACGCCACTCCAAATCATTCCCCCAGAGTCTCCCTACAAACTCGGCAGTTTTGACTTTTGGCCAATCACCCACAAATCACTGGGACGTGCAGCCGGGAACAGTGTCCAACCCAATTACGAAGCAATTTTCGACGTCCTCTCAATGTGGCAGAGCCAGGGTATTATGGATGGTGGTATTCAGTGTTTCATACCGGACCTCCCGAACGTTCAGAGCCCCAACGAGAAAGGTCGCATGCGGTGTTTCGGTATAATGTCCCAGGAGATCGATGAACTAGCTATCAGTTCCCTCGCGCTTACTGACGCGTTCAAATGCGATATAGCCAACTTCCCCCAGCACCGGGATGGGGAAACCGTCGAATCGGTGGTGGGGAACGCGTTCATTCCCACAACGGGAATCGTGTCCACGTCTAGAGGTGTCTTCAAGATGAACTGCTCGCCGGTGTGGACTGCGGTGTACAATGGTAGAGAGAACAATGCGCTTGGGATCGAACTTTGTGAGGTCTTTGAAGGCTATCTCGATATGTTGGTAAAATATGACCCATCCGTCGCTCATGGTTCAGGACATGGATGTGAATTCCGAAGTGGGCTGTGGGGCATACGACGGTCGCGACACCACGATTCTATGCCAAAGTATGGCTAGGGATGCACGTGTCGATAACGGGCCCATTGGGACTGGACTCCAGTCACTGGAGAAGACCGGAACTCCAATGCGAGAGGTGGGAATGCCGCTCTGGGAAGATGAACCAGAGCCGCATGAAGAAGAGGAAGATGGATAGATCACTCCATTACAGCGCTACCGGGTTTCCCCCATTGTTTCTTTTTCTTTTTTTCTTTATCTATTTTATTTATTCTCTCTTTCCCTAGACAATGATTTATGCAACGAAGAATAGACACCTAAAACACAAGAAGCTACATAGAATTTTACCCGAGAGTTTTACATACCACAGAGTTGACAAGTAGATTAGTATCACAACGAGTAGCGGGACAGTCGTACATAGCAATAGAGTACTGTACCCCCGCGTCTTCGCCCACTACGAGGCGTGTTGCGGGTCACCAATCCAGACCTTCATCATCATCATCAACACCAGTCACTGGAGGCTGGAGCATGTTGAATCTGGTTAATCAACCGTAAAAGACGGGAGTACTTTAGAATACGTATGGTTATCAACAAGTTGGAGGGCACATGGTGTAGTTGGTTTATCACGCCCGCTTAGCATAATGATGATTTGGGAAGTGCTTTGTGCGGGAGGTGTTGGGTTCAATTCCCAATGTGTCCATTTTATTTCATGATGCACTGGTATCGCTGCGGTTGGGCGTAACGGCGTTAGGGTTACGCACGAAACCTCCAGGGGCTGTAACTTACGGTTTCTTCCTGACCCCTTCCCAAAGGGGGTGTTTTGATACGGTAAGTTACCGTTACTTACCTAATCATGTGCACCACTCACATGATTAGCGCGTGGCAATGGCAGATAATTTTTCAGGTTCTGTTTCTTCGCGTTTTTAAACCTTTTTTCCCTTTCAGGAGGTTAGTACATCTGGAAATGTTAGATATAACCGACTCTGCACTGTACAAAGAATGTCTATACAATTGTAATGAATAGTTATGCTTAACTGGCAGTCATATGATTGGTAAGTTACCTCGACAAAAATCCCTCCAGTGAGGGGGTGGTAACTTACCGGTAATAAACCCAAGTGCAACGAAACCTAGGTTTCGTGCGCTACCCTATCGTTCAATAACTTGTTAAATGTAAATTCATTTTTTTGCTTCCAGAATCCCGAAAGAATCTAATAAGTATTTCCATTTGATCTACGCACCAGGTAGGCAGGATTCCACTTTCCGGCATGGTCCAACGAAGCAGTATTAGAGAGCTCACATCTTAGGATTGGTATAGATATTAATCATTACTTGCCTCTTACGGGCCTCCGTTGTGTCGATAGGGACGGTCTACCCTAACATTGATACTGAGTATTTCGACGATAAAACTAGTAATTCGAACCACTGCAGCTCTGTGAAGGACTGTAGATATACTCGCAAACCGCTTTATGATAAGCGCACACGAGCTCCGGTTTCTTGGGCGGGTCAAAGTTGATAGTACCTAGGCGTAGTATGAAACCCTTGATATTGCCCGAACTCGAATTACTTTCAAACATTAAATAATGTGCATCAGTCGTATTGTCGTCAAAGGGGTCAGACCGCTCTTATGTCTAGTCAGCACCAACCTTGGTTTGATGGGAGGCAACTAAGATAGCCTAACCTCCGAACGGTATAAATCACAATCAACATTACTTACAATAATCCGCCTCCACGAAGACTTCTGAGCCATGTTTTCCGGAACATCTGTCCTCCTTGAGCCAAATCCAGTCGCTCAGCCAGCCGAACATTCTATGCCCAATCCAATCCTGCCATACAAGCCGCCACGGATGTGACAACGCCAAATGTTCTAGTTTTGTGTGAAAGAGAAAATTTAATGAATCATAAGCTACAAGCCAGTGTCAACATAATCACAAAAATCTATCTTTTAAGACTTACCGACGTTGACTTGAGGGTTAACATATATTTTCGGACGGTGGGGAGTATTCCAGAAATGCATGTCAATAGCTATAAGGTAACACTCAGATGACGTGCATTCAGTGCTGCCTCTAAATCGCAACGGTAGTGGGGGGAGATAGTCTCCGGTAGGCGTAGGCTTGCTCCGGTCTAACTCTGACAGAAGTGATGAGAAATGACAAAACGAGTACGTTGCGAACTTACTGGGCAAGGACCCTGCGAGGAACCACGTCGCATCGAAAACGGCTACTCCATTCCAACAGCTGGCAACCTCGATGGGTTCACCTTTCCGGAGGCTTTTAACAGCACGAGAGTCTGAGGAAAAGTACGGCCAGATTTCTTTCGCTGTCCTTCCACAAGCGTCACGTACTACCCAGCTGATAGAAGTGTAAGGAGGAAATGTTGCGTAGCAGAGAAAGACATACATATCATATAGTCCCACTCCATCAAAGTCAAGAGCACAAGCAAGGTCATAATCCCCGTTCTTCGTATGGATCAATCGGACAATAGCTCCTATTGCAAACGCAAAGTCAGGATACGCGAAGCGACGGACATTAAGCGAAAAGACCAACTCCAGTCAAAATAAACATCGTTGAAAAACAGGACTTTTGTAAAGGTCTTCCCATCTTGATCGCCCATGACGCGTAAGGGCTCCAGGACCTTGTTCCTAATATCCGCCATGTAGGAGATCCGGTCGGGGCTATTCAGCCCCCACCTATCCCTTATTCCCTCCTGCACCACTATGTGGTTCCCGACGCCCCGCTCATCGAGTTCCTTCTGGAACATACGCAAAATCTCCTGCGTCCCGTCATCGGAATTTGACTCGTAGATAGATACGAAGGCGTTTTGTCGGCCGATGTGGTCGATGAGGAGCTTCATCTCCTTTGTCCACGTGGGTAAGACCTTTGCTGAATTATACAGGTTGGCCGCGATATAGTACGTGCCATTCGATGGAAGGGGGGATATGGGGGCGTCATTGCGGAGGTGAGATGAGTAAGGGTACGTCGGTGCGAGGAGAAGGAAGAGACACCATATAAAGCACAGTCGGAATCGTGTTCTTCTCCGTGGGGTCCACCGAGACCAATTAGAGATATGTGCGGCGTCAAATATTGTCAATGCCGGTACACATACTGTCGCAAATGGAAGATATATGAGGAATGTTGAGAAGTACCCCAGATGGTAGGCAAAGAAGATAGCGGTAGAGATAGAGAATGCTGCGCATGCGATGAGGACAGGGTGGTAGTGAAGGAGGGTCGCAATAAGATTCCTTCTGTGTTTGCGGTAATAGTAGGTATCCCTCATTGCTGTTCATGATCAGAGAGTGTGTGGTGGATAGCTGATGCACTGCCTCACGGCGCCCACGTTACCGTCGAAAGCTGTGAAATGCGACGGCATGTGACCCCTCTTTAGTTTTGCTCATTCCGCCTCACATTGTGTACGATTTACCTTGATATACTTGAGTTTAGTATTCCTGAGTACGAGCGCCCAGGACGTAGTCACGTAACTTATAGGAGAAGGTGAGGAATAGTTCGGGTATCTCCGAGAAGCCTAATACTGCTATTAACCCTATGTACTCGGTACAATAAAGCCAGCGGAGCCTACAGGCTCCAATATGACGCTGAACGCACCGACATAGACCGATGCACCACTATCAAACACTTGCTCTGCGACAACCTCAGCTATACCAACCTGCGCCAAGAAAAGCACCTTTTCTTCATAGTCCAAATTCGTCGCCAAAACTAATGTCTCCTTGCCTACCGTCCACAGACCTACATCAATGAAGTCAGAAGTCGTCACTTGCTGGAACTTGGCTTTGGGATTAAGAATGAATGGAGTGATTTTCGGAAGCGAAAGCGCGAGAGCTGAGGCGGAGGCTTTGATATCGGCGGATGTAGGGTCATCCCATGATACAACACCTGTTAAAAATACCAGATCAATATATTTATATACAACGGCAAGGAACGGATGATTACCCAGAGCTCCATGGTTGATCCCGATGATACTCTGAACAATGAACTCTTTCCCAGTAGGGAATCTCTTCCAGTACCTATTGCAAAAAACATCCTGAGTTCTCATCAGATGGATAGAGAAAAATAAACATACGACCCGTTCCCAAACGCCTGCGGGACCGCCCAGACCACCTTATTTAACTCCCAGCCATTGATAAATATTCTCTCCCGAAACTCATCTTCCCTGGTCGATATATCCTGAAAGGAGCCTTTACAATTATCACACCCACAATCACCGTAATCAGTCGTGCACACTGTTCCCCATTCGCTTGAGAACGTCACATTGTTCCCGATCATGTATGTATCCTGCATGACGATATCCGCCCCGCTCGCGTAGGCTGTGAACTCGTAGTTCTCACAGTTCAGCACGAGGGATACGGGGTGGTAGCCGGACCCGCCTCGTCCATCTCCGCCGTTGAGCGAGGTGATGAGGTTTGAAGATAGAAGGGTGGCGTCGAGCGGGTCGGAGGTGCCGTCTGGTTCGTCGGCTGTGTACCATAAAAGAAGATTTGAGCGTGATTTGATGCGATTGACTTGCTCGGTCACAGATGTACTGTTCATGTAGGTTCTAAATGGCGATGAGAGGACTTCAGGACGGACTTCGGAGATATTCTTACGCTCTCATGTCATACATGAGGTAGAGGCCTACTCGTTCCATTTCATCCAATACCTCATCGAGTGCCGTCAGATTTGAAAACGTGGGCACCGGATGAATCTATGGCGTCGGTTACTCGTGGCAGTTGCATCAGAAGAATCAAATCCATACAATATTGAATCTGTCAAAATGTTAGAAAAGGTAATATATATGGAAATGGATACCAACCCTTGCTCCTTCAGTATTCCAATGGCGGACAAATTGACAGCAAGATACGAGTCAAACTGGGTGTAGAAACCAAGAGGAAAGACTCTTTCGTATGCCCCGTCTTTGTGCGCTGATCGGGCAAGTAGACCTCCAGTGCGCATGTCCATCTTGGTAACAGAACCAATATCACGAGGAGGCGTAGGAAGATAGCTCAGTAACGACGTCGTCGCGAATCGCTCCCCGGACTCTGTCTCCCCTATACAGGATATGTTATACGCCTCGGTTCTCGGAGTTAAAGCAGACAGGGATAATGAAAGAGCGTGTTTCGCTGCATTGATGGGTACCCTTCCGCTAGCCAGAGTCTTCCCTTCGGCAGACACAATCACCTTCAAAGTAGTGCCGAGAGTGTCAGTAAAAGGTGACGCGCCGGTAATAAGGGAGTATGTGATGGGTGTATCGACGAGGATGGATACGGCTGTTGGGTCGTCAACGATGCCGTGATGGTCTTCCGGTAGGTACGGCCGAATGGCTTGTCCACATCGTAGAGCAAGTAGTGGTGTGGCGAACATTTCAGGAACTGGAAATTCACCACCTGCAGTACAAGGTCAACGTCTGCCGCTGCCTCATCATGATGAACTGACCCGGGAACACGATCGGCTCGGTGCTCATGTAATTTTTGTTGCACCTATAGCCGTGTCAAACTCGATACGCGCTGTGGAGAAATTTGCGCTTACCATGTATGTGCTGACACCAGCGATAGCAGAGATACGAGCACGACCAGGGACATCATCGTGGTCTGGTCGAGAAAGAGTCCAGCGAGCCATATGCTCTACGTCGGCGTTAGAAGCAGAGGCAAGGTCGCGTGCCTCAGAGGAAGCAGATTTGTCGAAATCGTCACACATCTACGCGCGAGATAGA